AGGTGGCTACACAGTGCTAGCAGGAGCAAGAAGTAGAAGTTTTGTTTTGTTTTTCACTTAAAGTATTCTGATATGAGGCTAAATATGCACAAGTCTCCCCTCCCCCCATGCCTCCATCAGAGGCAGCTGCCTGCTCACCCTCCCCCACTGCCTCTATCAAAGCCGAAGCCCGCTGTGGGTACGGGCTGCTTTGGCAGTAGCTGCTGTCCGCAGAGATCTCAGCAGGGAGCTTGCCTCCCTCCCATGGACAGGGTGCTGCCGCCAAGTAGCCCCTGTTCGCGGAGGCCCGGGCTGGCCTTATATAGGGGCTACTCCGACGCGATTAGCCAGATAACCACAATTTAACATCCTTATCCAGAATAGTTCTTCACTAGGGATGTGAGCATGTACCCATTTAAATGATTAACGGATGAGCCTGGGCATTGTAAATTTCATTGATTATATGTTTGCAAAATTAAATGCATTTTAACAAGCCTGTTCTTCACCTTGTCCCTCAAAGGTGCGGGCATTTTTTTTACTCACTGCAGAACCAGTCATCCATCTCGGTCCATCAGCTTCTTCTGCCTTCCAGTGAAACAGCAGTTTTGCTAGGTCTAGAACCCATTATAATTTCCCTATTGGGCCAATGTTCACAAGCTTTGCAGAATATTAGGTCTCTCTCTAGGTCATTGGATCTTGGGGTTCTTGAATGGATATGTGTTTTTCAGTTTGAATCCAGGCGAAATCCTGATCTTCAGTCTTTCTCATTGTAAACTGCTAATAGGATATATTAATTATATCAGCGTTTCTCAAACTGTGGGTGTCGCAACCAACTTACAGGGGGGTCGCAGCTGGATCCATTTTTTTTCTCAACAAAAATTTGTTTACTCTCCGGTAAAAAAAAACCATGAAATACCGGACGGAAGCCCGGAGGGGACAATTTTTCCCCTGCCATGTCTGACAAGGTCAGGGGAGTGAGGAGCGCCGCAGAGTCTAGTGAAGGGGGCAGTTGCCGGGCACCACGCTAGGGGGGCGCCAGAGTGCACGCTGCTCTGGCCAACGTGAGCAGCAGAGACCAGCACGTGATGCCTCCCCTACAGCTGTGAGCTGAGGTAGCCGGGCCGGGCTTCAGGAGCAGCCACTTTAAAAGTAAGAGTTTCCTCCATGCCTGGCTCTGCGGGGGGGGGGGGGGGGGGCGTGCTGAGGATGCCTGGCTCAGGGAGAGGGCTGGGTGCAGTCCCAAACTGGACATAGCATTTTAGGGGGTTGAGGTATCAAAGTTTGAGAACCCCTGAATTTTATCATGAAAATTGAGACTACAAAATTGGTGCTGGTTTCAAGCCTCACTACATCTCCGAACAGTGTAATTCCTGCTTTAAATTGAAAAGACTGCCAGGAATGTTGCTCCCACATCTTGATAAGACAAGCACAGGAAGTGTCACTCAGTGAAACTGTAGGCTACAAAGTGGCTCTATCTTGCAGTTGTGATCACCAGCTTTTGTCAGCAGAGTTTGAAGTTGTTTCCATATTAGATGGCTTCTGAGAGTCAACTTATTGGGGCATGATTAGTTTTCTAAAGATCACTTGTTCTCTGCCCAACATTCAAGTTGCGTGCACATGGGAAAATTTGGTCTTAGTACCTCCCAGGTCCTGACACTTAAGAACTTTTCTTAGTTCCTGGCAGGCACTAGTTTGCTTCCTGTAAGATGAGTTGTCGAGTTCTAACAGGTGTTGTCAGGCACTTATATTAAACAATAACTGGTTGGGACTGAGAGTTTTCAGCTTTTATTCCTCTGATCAATGCAAAGTCAGTGGATATTCACACAGATAATGCTTGTCAGTCAATGCACATTCTTTGAACAGGCAGGGATATGGGGGCATTTGTGATGCTAGTGCATCCATAAGCATAACGACTTTGACTTGCATTTTGGAAGTAATGAAAGACCTAGTAGATAGGTAGCATACGGTCAAATCAACGCAAGGGGTCTTCAGAGAGTTTAGCAAATTCCTTCTCTACCAAATGCCACCTGGAGGTATTGCTTTACCTGGAATCAGAGTACAGTGTAGCCAATATATTATTCCAGGATATTCATGATCACAAGTTGGTCTCTAATGTCACATTGGAGAAGAGAACACACATATGTATCCTCTTTCTAAAAACTTTCAAGAATATTCAGCAAAAAGGGCTAAGTGATTATAGTTGGGCTCACCAGATTTTCTCAGTTCCATTAGCTCTGCTCCTACTTGTGGTCTTTTAATAAAGATTCCTTCTTGATGGCTATGTCATTTGCCAGATCTTCAGAAAGGTAGCCTATAGTGGCACAACTTCCTTGTACTAATTTTCACATAGTCTTTATATTATGTACCAAATTCTTGACTTTTTTACTATAGTTTTTATCAGATTTTTGTCAATATTTTTCAAAGCCATCAGATCTTCCAAGTAAATCTTTGCTGTACACCTTGATTGAGAAGGTTGTGGATTATTTCTTGGGCAGAACAAAACCTCTAAAGAAATCTTCAAAACCATCTTGGCTTAAAAAAAAGGGAACTGAGGAATAGTTGATTGCATTGAGGGCCTTTATACCTTTGGGTTTAAATTTTGTAGAAAGGGCATGCAGACATTGAGGAAGAGTATGCTAGGGATGTGAAAGTGTAAACATGTACACAGTTACATGTAGGACCCCTCCTGCACTGTGTCTGTATCAGATAGAAGTACCGAGGAAGGGGGAGCAAGCAGGAGTCAGCACATATGGGAAGCCAGCATTTAAGCCGGCTCCCTGCAAATACTGGCTCCCACAGAGCTGCCTGCCCTCTCCTCCCGCCCCCGCTGATGCCTGGTACAGAGGCAGCGGTATGGGGAAGAGGGCAGACAGGTCTGCGGGATCTGCCTCCCCCCAGCATGCAGACATGAAAATTTCAGCAACTGCACATTTATCTAAATAAAAGCGTTATAACATTCCTAGCTCAGTCTTGCAGTGTGAATCTGTAGAGGCAATACATAAGTTACCGGTACCTGCTCTTTTTCATCATTCTTTCCCTAAAAATTATTCCTTTAAAATAACTTTATTGTTGTTTTGAGAAAACAAAGTAAAGCCTACTAAAATATATTAGGTGAAATATCAAAACCATTATAATCTATCTTAATGCTTAAAATTGCTTTATCATGAGAGTGACTTTGCAGTCTCTGATAATGTCCCACCAAACCATAAGAATAGAGAATTTAGGCTTATCTGTCCTTACATATTTTCTTTTGGATAAGTCTTGTTTTGGCTATTAGTGGAGACTTTAAAAGGTGGAGATGCTCTTATACTTCCACTGCTTTGTCACCAGAATAATCAGGAGTCTTGCTTTATGATTCTTGTAGTTAATCATTTCATTGGATGATTTTTTTATATAAATTTGAGAAGATGGGTTCTGTAAGTGAAAGAGGAATAAATTCACTGTCTTAGTAAACTTTTGACCATAAATACCATGGCAAAGGCTTTCCAGAGTGATTAGTGATTTTTTTGGGGGGAGGGAGGGTTGCCTTGGTTAATGAGTGTGTCATGTAGATTTTAATGGGTCCCAACTTTCAGAAAGCACTGAGTATCCGCTCTCTGAAACTCAGTCCCCTTTAAAGTCTTTCAAGTTAAGCGCCCACTGACTGAGGTATTCAGAACCACCTGTCATGCTGGAAAATCTTGGCCAAAGTTTGTAACTTTTGTTTCTCTCAGAATCAGCCACACTTTATTGTATGACTCGTATACCATAGCAAATGACAAAATTAGTTGAAATAGGAAGGAATACATCTTGCTTCAAACCTTCATATTACTGTTCATCATGCTCATAGACTCATAGACTTTAAGGTCAGAAGGGACCATTATGATCATCTAGTCTGACCCCCTGCACAGTGCAGGCCACAGAATCTCACCCACCCCTCTTAGAATAATCCTCTCATCTATATCTCAGATATTGAAGCCTTCAAATACTTTGAAGGTCCCAAGATGCAGAGAGTCCTCCAGCTGTGATCTGCGCCCCATGCTACAGAGGAAGGCAAAAAACCTCCAGGGTCTCTGCCAATCTACCCTGGAGGAAAATTCCTTCCCGACCCCAAATATGGTGATCAGCTAAACCCTGAGCATGTGGGCAAGACTCACCAGCCAGACACCCAGAAAGTTCTCTATAGTAACTCACCAGCCAGACACCCAGAAATTCTCTATAGTAACTCCTATCATCCCTCCATTGACATATTTCCCACTGAAAATGAATGGTCAATTAGTTACCAAGATCATAGTCTCTCATCAACCCATCCCCTTATCATAGAATCATAGAACTGGAAGAGATCTCAGAAGGTCATCAAGTCTAGCCCCCTGATCCTAGGTATTTTTACATTTCTATACAAAATGTAGTTATTATAACCCACATGTTCCCTTCTTGGTTACTCCTTCTCAGCAGAATACCATTAGAGCAGTGCGATGGTACCTATCAGTAATTTGTTCCTAGATTAAATGTTTTCATTTCTATTGTCAAACAGCTTTTTGCTCCAAAGAGAGTGCAACTTCACATGCATGTTACATGCTTGTGATAGGAAGAAATTAGGCACAGTGAGCACTCATTTTGTATGTGAAATGGCACCTTTTAAAATTCAAAGTTACCTTTTTTTCCATGAAAACCAAACTCTTTTTCATCCCATTTTTTATCAATGTCACTAATTTTGTCTGTTGGTTGGCTTTGTTGTTAATCTAGTGTTAAAGGGGATGGTTGTGTTATCAGCACAACTTGATTTATTAACAGTTACAAGAGAACATAGGGGGAAAACTCTTCTAACTTACCGCAAGTATCATTTTTACATAATTTATTTTTCAAGCACATGGGGTAAATGGACTTGATTTAAGAAGGTGAACTTTCAGACTTGCTGTATGTATTAGCAGTGCTTTTTTGGGGAGGGGAGGGATTGCAGCTTTGTTTCACACTTAATCATTGTACCTCTATGTCACTTGTTTTTGAAAAAGCACAGTTAAAGGTTGCCATTTCTTTTGTAGGTTGCTCCAGAAGAATTTAAGACTAGTATCAGCCGTGTGAATGCATGTTTAAAGAAGAATCTCCCCATTAATGTAAAATGGCTGCTTTGTGGCTGTCTGTGCTGTTGCTGCACACTGGGATGCAGCTTGTGGCCTGTTATCTGTCTCAACAAAAGAGTAAGTACACATTTCACAGTTGCATTGTGACCAAAAATTGACAACTGCTGCTAATGTTTAATACTCATTACATAACAATAGCTTTCTTTATTCAGAAACTACTTCTCTCTGTATACCCAGGTGCCATCATAAATCTTCCTATTTTAACCTGTGTGATATGTCTGGCTAGCTGTTAATCTTTAACAGTAACCAAAAGTAGTAAATATATATATTTATATCTGTAACCCTTCTGCCAGATAGCACCAGCAGCAGCCAGGGCCAGGTTCAATATCTAGGGGTTCCTCTCCATCTATCTAACACAGAACTGGCTCGAGCCCCCATCCAGTAACCTGGGAAAGTCGCACACCACCCCGGGCACCTCTGGGAGGCAACACTTCCCCACTCGCAAGCAAGAGTCTGAGTGTAGAAGAGACATTTTTAATAAAAGGGGAAAGAAATAACATGGCAGTAATTTTGGAAAACACCACAAACACAGTTCAAACCCATGAGTAAATGTCCCATCTTGAGTAGGTTGGGCAATGTCCTTTTCCTCGGAAGCTCCCAAGTCCAGCTATGTAAGTGTACTATTCACATGCCCAAACCTTCTCTGCACCCCACTCAGTCATGGCCCTTGGTCAGGGCAGATCAGAGTTCAGAGGTGATCTGCAGAATTCACCTCCGGTCCTGACTGGAGGACTGGTAGGAGTCATCTCACCCACTATGCTGGTCATTCGCCATCCACCTGCTCACTGTTCTCTGGCACCACCCTGCTGGCTGTTCATTGTCTCTTGCTGCCATCGTTCTGCTGGCTGCTCCTCATATCACTCCATCCCTGCCCTGCTGGCTGCTCATTGCATCTTCCACTGGCTTGTGGCAGATTTGGCTCTGGGCCAAACCTAGTGATCTCAGCTCTTTGTGATCTCAGCTCTCAGTGATTTCAATTCTTGGCCCAAAGCACAGTCCAGCCACAAGAGATTCCAGCATCCACTAGAATACATTTACACACAAAAGGGACTACTTATGGAGCCTTTCCTTAACTCTATCATTCAAACAGTGGGGAGACACAGGTTGAACCAGTCTTACAGTTCACACCTGGAGGGCATGGAGCCTACTGAATCACCTCCCTCCCCAGCTGAATGTATAGGTCTCTGGAAGACCAGCCTCTGTCCATCCAAGTGTATTTACACTGACAGGGTCTCTTCTTTTAATTGAATTTAAAACAGACTGACTTTTCTGCATTTTGCAAGCATTAACTGCAAGAATTGGTGGTCATGTCTTAGAATTCCAGCATTTAGTTTTAACACCGTTTGTGACCCCCCCCCACAACAGCCAAATTGGTTACAATGACATAGCACTTTCTAACAGCTGAACATCTAGCAGGCCTGAGCGACCTGATTGAAATGTATTTCCATGACCACACCCAGGATTCCTTTCCCATTCTAGCAGGCTGTAATGGAAACATTGATTCAGACCCTGCTTCTCTCTCTCTCTTGGGGGGAGGGGTGGAAGGAGGAGGAGAGGGAGCTGTGCTGAATTATGTTAATAACAATGAGTTGTACAGGAATAGCAGTTAATGAGCCAAAGGACAGCTTAAACAGACTGAAATCTTCCAGTTCCTCTTTCTTTCCAGACACAAATTTCTAAAACGTGAACATTATTTCACTTTGGTACCTTTAACCAGACTATACTTTTGACACATTTTATTCTACTTCTGTTATTTATTAAGAACAAGCTGAATTTGATTGTAATAAAAAAAAAATTCTAGGGATAGTCAGGAGAATGTGATCCTAAGTGAAACACACAAATGCTTCTAACTTTTGTGTTTAGAATCTGTAGACTTCAGTGATTGACATACTGGAAATCCATAAATGTAGTACATTTTTCAATGCAGATTGCAATCAAACCTCGGTTTTTATCTGCAGATTTAACAAATACAGTAGAACAAATGTTTATGGGTTTAAAGAAGGAAAAGATAATGAATAAGAACCCATCCTCAATGAGATTTGTAAGAATTTAAAGTACCTTTCTGCAGTAAAACTAACAGAGTGCCTTAAGTTGTTCATTTAAGTCCGGGGTGGGGAACCTAAGGCCCAGGGGCTGAATCCGGCCCTCAGGGCTCCCTCCCCCTCCCAGCATTGGGGAGCCCTCGCTTGTGCTCCAGCCTCCCTGCTGCCCCTCATGGGACTGTAGCACACAAAATCTATTAGGCTGGGCCTCCCTAGGATCTGGTGTGCAAGGGGAATATGGGAAGCATCTTTCTCCTTCTCAGTCGGGGGGCCACATCAATGAGGGCTTGGGGATTTTTTTTTATTCTCACTTGTGTGCGGTCCCCAACCCAAAAAAGGTTCCCCACCCCTGATTTAAGTCTTACCTGCAGTAGGGACATGAAGGACTTATGCTTATCGGATAGTCGACAAGCTTGTCGACTAGTCACTCCCCTTCCCCTCCCCTTTGCTGCCTCTGTCAGAAAGAGGCAGCAAGGGAGGGGAGAAAAGGGGGTACTTCAAAGCAGCAGCAGCAGCACCACATGGACCCTGGGGCCAGACCCCGGGCTCCATGTAGTGCTGCTGCTGCTTTGAAACGCTGTGTGCAGCCTGGGGGACACCCCAGCTGGCTCTAGGTTGCATGCAGCGTTTCAAAGCGGCAGTGCCTCATGGAGCCCAGGATCAGCGGGGGACCTCAGGCTCTGTGAGGGGCTGCTGCTTTGAAACGCTGTGTGCAGCCTGGGGGACACCCCAGCTGGCTCTAGGTTGCATGCAGCGTTTCAACTCGGGGTCAGCAGGGGTGTACCCAGCTGATCCTGGTCTCCATGCGGTGTTGCTACTTTGAAATGCCGTGAGGAGCCTGATGCCAGACTCGCCACAGCATTTCAAAGCAGCAGCACTGCACAGAGACCAGGGTCAGCAGAGGAGTTCCCCGCTGCTCCCGAGCTCCATGCGGTGCTGCCACTTTGAAATGCCATGAGGAGCCTGACGCCAGGCCCCCCCATAGTGTTTCAAAGCGGCAGCACCACACGGAGCCCGGGGGCATCCCTACCTGACCCCGGGCTCAACACGGCGCTTTCACCTTCAAAGTGTAGCAACAGCCCTAGGGAGGTGCCCTGTCAACTATTTGATTAGTCAATTACTCACAATTTAACATCACTAACCTGCAGGATTTTTAACAGATTATTGTTATAGTATAAAGAATGGGCACATGTTAGAGAGAAAATAATAAATTCTACACAGTTAACATGTTGTTAAGTGTTGTATGTGCTTTACAGACGATTATAAAGCAATTAGTATGTTTAAAGCTATATAATTATATACAGCACTCGACAATCTATGTAATCTACTCACCTGTGGCAAGTAGATTACAACCCGGAAGAGCCGGGTTCGGGCGATCTGCGCATGCACAGAACGGTCTGCGCATGCGCAGATCGCTGGACAGCGCAGCCCGGCGAGCCCTGATTATATACATAAAAATAACCTATGCTGTAAAAGTTACTAATTTATAACAAATACATGGTCAGACTCCTTACGAAATGATTCTCATATAGTAGTATACACTATAAAACAGGTACATCTTAAAAAAATACTGTCAGTTTTTAATTTTAAATTTCTATACTGAGAGAAACTACTTAGCCACCATTTCTTATAAGAAATAATTGGATAAATGTATAAAAATTCCAAAACCAAAGCCACCTTTTTTAACCACTGCAAATTATTTCAATAATATTGGCATGGGAGTGGAATAAATCTAAAATAAGTTTGTAATCTTTTTGTTAAAGGTGGAAATATAATTGTTTCCAATAATGCACAAAACTATATGGTCACAACAAATTTTAAGATTCAGTTTTGTACTTTGCTATTTAATTGAAATGTGAATATTTAAAAAGATTCCTGCAAGTCAATATTTGTGGGCTATTTACACCCTTTTGTCCTCTTTGTGAACCTGTGTACATTGTAGTTTATTAAAGGAATAAACAGTATATTCTTTAATCCATTTATTATTTTTCTAGTTCCATATCAAGATTTGTCCTTGTGTATTAAAGCTAATGTTATAGATGATGGTTAAAAGATTGGTCCATTTCTCCCATTGTCTAATTATGTTCCTATCTCTAGTGAGCTAACTGAAAAGGAAAATGCACTAAACCCTCCCTCTCCTCCCCCCAAAAAGGCCTACAGATGGCACCACACGCAGAATGAATTAGTTTGGCAGCTCCTTCTACTTGTTCCTGAAAGTAACACTAATAGAACTGCTTGGAGTGAAGCAGAATGCAGGCAGGCATTTTTTTCATGCCCCTCTTCCAGATCATACTAGTCCTGCCCTGCATCCCATATACTATGATTTTTTGCGTCCTTTCTTAAGTAGAGAACACCAAAATATTTTGTTTTTGTAATAAGAGGACAAACCTTTCTTGAGGTGTGCAAGGAGATAATATGTTTAATGCTTGACGACATAGGAGTTCAACCCTATTTCCAGGATTGAAAAGCATAGTGTTTCAATCCACTGGCCTGCTGTCATACAGTTGGCTCCTCTTGGAGTTCTCTTCTATGGCAGGATGTAACAACTGCACGTTCCTCAGTTTCCCGCCTCCACCTGTCCACAGAAGGGATCTCCAAGCGCTCTAAACTAAGCTTGGTCTACACTGACACAACATAGAAGCATAGCTATGTTAGTCAGGGGCATGAAAAAAAAATGCATCCATGTGCAACATAGATATGCCAAAAAACAAACAAAAACCAGTGTAGGTACAGCTATGATGACATAAGTATGTGTCCAAAATCACAACTAACATTATTTAGCAGGGTGGAATTGCTACACCACCATAACAATTTCTGTCAGTACATATGCTATGCTGGGGTACTATGCCAGCTCATGCTCTACAGCAGTGTTTCTTAAACTTTTTAAGACCGAGGAACAACAAACAATTTTTTTTATGGGGAACACCAAGGATTTTTTTGTTGAGGATGGAAAAAAGGCCCCAAGGGAAAAGTTGTTGAGCAAAATAAAAAAGGAGGCTTATCCCTTTAAGGGCAGCCATTTTGAATTCTGTTCTCTCTGCAGCATACCTCCAACTGCCTCACGGCGCACCAGTATGCCATGGAACACACTTGAAGAAACGCTGCTCTAAAGTGTATATAGAGCCCTCTTCTAATCTGATAGTGTTTGTTGGAGTATCTGAATGTTTCCCAAGTATTTAAATAAAAATAACACTCCTATCACTTTCAGGGGAGTGATCTGGATTGTGGGAAAGGGGGAACCCTGTGTACCTGAAAGGAAAGTAACTCTGAAATCTGTACTTGAGACAAGTAGAGTTAGGAAGGCAAGATTTCTCCAAGATGAAATTCTTTCTTTGCTTAGTTATCCTTTCCCAAAACATACATTGCCAATTTAAATGTGATTCTTGAGAGCTGCAAATATAACTTTAAGACCTTTGGGAATGAGGCTGGCAGCTAAGCCATTTCTAATAAATGTTGACTTTCTTTCCTAGACTAGAAGATCAATTCAGAAGTTGCTAGAATGGGAAAATAACAGATTATATCATAAGGTAAGAAATAGTAAGGACTAGAATCTATACATTTCCCACTTTTATTTAGAATTAATAAGATTGCAAAATTGGAATTCAGGAATGCTATTCACTTGTTTAGAACTAAAGCTAAAATACTAAATTTGACTCACAAACAGAGACTACTGAAGCTTATAATATGTTGTTGATGAGAAATAATGCAATAGTATACCTTTAATTCCACAATAATTATTTTCTTAGCTCGGTTTGCATTGGAAGCTGAGTAAAAGGAAATGTGAAACTAGCAATATGATGGAATATGTAAGTATTCTTTTTCTGTTACATTTTTTAGTTTCTTTCACTACAGTGTGGTTTAATACATCATTAACCACCAGACTCTTTACCCTTCAGTCTACTCATAACTAATTTGTTTTCATCAGACACACACACATAGCCTTTGGAAATTCACTATTTGTGTTACTCGCTAGAGAAATTCTTGGCTAATAAAATATGATCTTGTTTTGATACACAAAGATGGCAACATATTGGGATGTGTAAAGTCATTTAAAAATGTAACCATGTAACCACTAAAAACCTAGCGGTTACATGCGCTGCAGGCTCTGCAGTATAAAAATGTGTATATAAGCTTATAGTGTAGAGTTCAGAGCAATGCTGGCTCCCAAGGGCTGATGGCCCCGCTCCTGCACTGGATGAGGGTGGGAAGGAAAAGTGTGGCCCTTGATCACTTAACAAATTTTGGAGTGCCCCCTCCTCCTCCCCCATAAAAAAAATATTGCCCACCCGTATAAAGCCCTTTCCAATCATACCCTGGACAGAAAGGACTCTTTTCAGTGCCTGATATTATGTATCTTGAGAGGTTTTTTCCCTTTAAAATATTGATGACACAAGTCTGGGTGGTATAGGTTCTGTGCATGCCAGCCAAGTTCAGTAGCAAGCACATGGCAATAAATATATATAAAGCTGCATTAACATTATTCTAAATTAATCATTTTGGTTAATATTTTGTGTTTTTCTATTCAACAGGTAATACTAATAGAATTCTTACCAAAATATCCCATATTTCGACCTGACTGAGGAGCAGTATTCAGTCTTTTATGTTACCTGCCATTTCCTACTCTTAGTGCCTTGTAGATGATTTTGGAGAGAAGATGGTCTACTTTGCTGTGACTTAAAAATGTTATTTGGTAGAATATCTTCCTTGCTATGTTACTTTATTTTGTTTCAGAAGAAAACAATTTGCACATTTTTATGTTAAATGAGGCTTCTATGTTGCACTCTGAATTTTTAACATTAACGATAAATATATTTGCCACTAAGGATCTAACATCAGTGCTGCTTAAAACTTGTTCTGAGCATGATGCCTTATTAATTTCCATATTTGCTGTTTCCACATGTACATTTTAACTCTGTATCGTATTGCATTCTAAAGTCATATTTCTATAAATCCTCAATAGAAATGTCCAAGTAAGCTTCTGATAGTTAGCAATGATTTTACTATAGCTTGCTTGCATAAGACTTGCAATTAACAGCACTGGTTTTGTCCTGCACTTTGCAAAATCATCACTTACATTAGGGTTACATTATTTTACCCACTGGATTTGTAAATAGTGCCTCATTACATAATGTAAAGTGTGGTATGCCAAGGTTTACAGAATGTAATATAGCTCTGATTGTATTGCCAACAGTTCTACATAGGTATATTAATGACATTTATTAGCATCCTGATTGTATGGACCCATTCATATGCCATTTTTATGGTAAAGCCATAATGAGTTTGTACATACTATCAGGTGTAGGGCTCAGATGCACTTTGTTAGTAAATGGATGAAAAATGCATAGCATTTCTGTGTTTCTTTGGAGGATTTTCAGGAATCTTGTTTAGCACCTGAAATAAGGAAACATAAGTATTCTCGTCTTTTGAAGAAGTTGTATTTGTGGAATTGATTGCAACTAATATATTATCAGACTACCCTAAAATCCTATTTTTAAGACACAAATATATGGAAGTCAAGAAAATATGTTGTTGGTTTTAAAAAAAATCAAAGCAGCAAATTTAAAGCAACTGGAGTGAATTGTAATTAAAGCCACTTACTTGGGACAGTTAAATCAATACAGAAAAATATTAAAATTATTTTTATAGCACAGTAGCATCTGATATTATTTTTTACATATTAAGCAGTTAACTAAAACTGCATCCGTTCCAGAGTGAAAAAGGAGCAGCATGCACAATATAATAGGGAACCACAAAACAATCATTTTGATGTGGGCTATGATGAGTTGATATTTGCCTCAAGGAGCTTTATCATAACTTACTGTCCAGGCATTGCTTTATAGTTATTTGGACTCTTTGTATGCTATTTGTTGCCTAAGTTTTCCAGTTGATTTTGGACTTTCCTGTGAAACATTAATCCATACTGAAAAGGGATGGTACAAACCCTTGTTGAACTGGAAGAAAATATTTGCTAAACCATTGCATTTAAATAGCAGCAGTTGACGTGACTTACAGCTGCCTTTTCTGAAAGTAGTAAGGGACAGAGAAAGTTATGGGCATTTAGTCTTGTTGAATTAAATTCTTCATGTGTTTTATTGTTCTGCTGAGGAGCAAGAAACTCTTGTACTTGTGATGTAATTTCCACAACTGCCAAGAGTTGATACTTCAAGATGAGAAATTTGAATGCTGAAATGGATTGTCCGCTGTAGTAAACCAGTTTGTTTGCCTTAGTAGATCGGTGTCCGCTAACTGACTGCATTTTAAAACACTAGAATATAAGTAGTTTTCAAAATCTATGGTAGTGTCTGACTATAATTATAGAACAACAAAACATGCATAGTGCCATATGTTGAAATGTGTGTAGGGGTGGGAAACTTAGGGAAATGCAGTGCAAATCAGACTTGGAATAGCATGCTTCATTTTATATTCATTTCTGTTGAAACAGGATTCTGGACAGTAACTGTTGCTGATATAAAAAAAGCATAGTTATTTTTTTACCTTAAAATCTTAAGTGGTAGGAGCTTCTTACTGACATGCTGTTAGAGGTTGCTGTTAATTAGTCCCTCTCATTTTTGTTAACCAATAGTCCAGAAACTATACCACTCTTTCTTTCCCTCATTTGAGTGACTGTATTTTAAGAATGTTCCTCTGCAGCTGAGAGGACAAAAAACCACTGAGATCTTGATGTCACCAGTAGTAGTGAATACTCTTCGTTCTCATAGCTATTGGCAGTCCTCCCCGTTAGACACAAATCATCTGACCTTAGGATATGCAGGTCAGAACAGTTCCATTTGATTTATAACACATTTTTATGAAACAATGTGCCAGACTGAGCAAAAATACCATCAGTTCTTCCCAGTTAGACGGTATGTCAGTGGATTGTTTATTTAAAGACTGGCACTGGTACCTCTTGACAATTGACACAATTAACATCAATTCTATAGATTTTATTTGAAATATCAGATTACCAATCGTTTAGTCTACACCACCATTAAAGTTTAATTCAGAAATGGGCACCTAAATTTTGCCTTGCTATGAGGCAGTACTAACAAATGGCCAGGAGCATGAGAGACAAAATAGCAGATTACATCAAACTTTATCCGAATAAAGAGGTAATTTTGGATTGTCCTACAAATGCCAGCATGCAATAATCTTTGAATCAAAGTGACACAGATAATTTTTCTCACTTAAAGATGAAGGCAGCCACAATGTGTTGCTTTAGACTATGGAATGCATTCTGCCTACAAATTCTATTTTGACTACCATTTCTTAGTCTATGAACATTCATTTGATAGTTTTCAGTCTTATAAAATCTGTTACCTTAAAAGCTATAAGTAAATATAAATTTATAAAAACACATCCATGATGAGTAATTGTTAATCAGAGAGAGTCCCTAGCAATACAACAAATAGTGGTAACAAAGTGTAATGCAAATGGAAAGGAAAGTGCCTTGACTTGTTCAAATGAAAGGAAATCTTGTGTAGAGGGGGAGAAAAGGGAACTATTTTAAGGCCAGGTCTATACTAGACCCAGAAAGTCAACTTAAGGTATGCAACTCAGCTACGTAAATAATGTAGCTGGAGTTGACATACTTTAAGCCAAGTTTGGCACCACCTCCACAGCAAATGCTCCTGTTGACTTGCCTCATTCATCACAAATCGAGGAGTACCAGCACCAACCAGGGGTGCCCTCAGTGTTCGATTTAGCGGGTCCTTAGTAGACCCGCAAACTCGAAGGCTGGAAGATAGATCTCTGGCGTGATAAGTATAGATGTGGCCTAAGTGAATATCTGTAAACTTAATTTTCTATGCATTTCCTAAAAAGCAAGTCTGGAAACGTTGTTTACTTAAGTCTAGCATAAAGTTTTGTTAGAATACTTTGATCATTTTATTTTCCAGTTTTATGCATTAGGAAATGTTATAGAATATTGGCAGAGAAGGAAAACTTTTATTTACTGGCTTTAAAATGACTTTTTTGACACTACTTTCATGCTGGCCTAAAGAAGTATAAAAATGTATATGAACATGTGTAGAAAATTTAGATTTGACTATCTATAAGACTAGACACAAAATACATTTTTGCTAAATTTAGTGTAGTCTTGATAACATTCATCTTGATAAGTACAGAAATCTGTATGCAAAAACATTAATATGTGTATATTAGTGTCTCCTGACATCAGTTTACTACATTTACCTATAAACATTAGCATTTGAGCAATAAAAATGTCAAACAGTTAATATTCAATGTAAATAGTGCTGACCATTTTAGTAACAATGTTGTGTGATGTTCCTGTTCTGCAGTTTTTTGGGTTTTTTGTTTGTTTTTGCTGTTTTTATGAAGGTGTAACATCATTTGTAACTCATCAAAATCTGTTTTTGTTTTAAGTTGTATGAAAGAATATTTAATTGAGTCCTTAACATTTTTATTCTGTTTACAAGTAAATAGCCACTTTTTTCAATAGGACCTCACACCTTGAAATTTTTTGAATAAAATCCTAAATAAGCTTTGTCTATACAAGTTTACTGCTTTGATCTGTGCCATTAAAGAAGCTGGAAGTCAGACTTGTTAATCTGAATCACTTTTCAAAATGTTTTTATTTTAATTAAATATAAAGATGAAAACAAATAACGCAAAGTTCTTGTAGAAATGAAGAACATTCTTTTATGCCTCTTCTGGTGTGACATGTCAATTTTTTAATCTTTCTTAAATTAAGTCTGCTATCTCACCCAACCAGATAGATCAGGGCCTCCATCCCATTTGCCTACTCAAAGTACCAGGAATCAGCAATCTATGAAGGCTTTGCTGGAGCGAGAGTAGAGGCGAATGCCTTGGAATCATTCTGGGTATTGCTTCTACTTCATAGAATTGTCCAATTGGTTAATACTGAGGTTTTAAAAAACTATTTTCCACTTGATACTGTGGAAATAATTCTCAGGGCAATAGGGACCACAGTTTTGGAAGTAGCCCATGCCATCTTCAGATCCAAGGCATCAATGATGCCTACTGAATCAGAACTCAATGGTGAAGACTTCTCAGAACTGAGAAAAGCAAGTTCTTTTCATTCTGCTGTAGTTCCATGTCAAGGAGAGCCTGACTCTGGCACAGGAACATGTGAGTGTTAAACAAAACACTTTAATAGAATATTGTATATGCAGCACACCCGTAGAATTTCCCATTCTATATTTCCTGATATACTAACTTTTCTTATGGGGCTATGTCTAGACTGCAGGCTTCTTTCGGAAGAAACTTTTCCAGAAGAGATCTTCCAAAAGACAGCGTCCACACTGCCAAAGTACTGAATGGATGCTATCTTGCATGTAAACTGTGATTACGATGAGCAGAATGGCCACTGGGGCACCTGTACTTTTTCCTCTTTCCTCTTCTTGCGAAAGAACTCCCTCTCCCCTGCCCACACATGCCTTTTTCTGAAAGAGCTCTTTCGGAAAAAGGCTTCTTCCTTGTAGAAAGAGGTTTAGCAATGTCGGAAGAACCCCTCAGTTCTTTCGATATTTTTTCAAAAGAATGTGATTGCAGTGTGGACGTAATTGAAGTTTTTTTCGGAAAAACTCCCGTTTTTCCGAAAAAACAAACTCTGTAGTGAAGACATACTCTGAGAATGGGATTTTATACATAAGTCCGTTGGCATTCTACATGGTGGGGAATAGATGGGTCCCTGTAACTAACATATATTACTTCCATTTTATGATGGACCATTTTTATTGTTCAGAGAGAAAGCACTAAAAAATAGTGCTGCCTCTTAAGAGGAAGGTGTCTCCTAGAAAGACAAACAATCACCACCATTATGCTCCTTTGGAGAAGAAGGGGGAAAATTGGCATGAATACACAAATTCATATTTACTTCCATTTCCACCTACGCGGGGATGTAAGCAACTAGTTGACTTATTGGGTCAACTATCTGCTTACTGGGTAGTCGAGTAGTGACTCAATTAGTTGCTCCCCCTCCCCTTGCTGCCTCTGTGGTTCCCCCCAGCACTGTCTTGGGGGAGTGGAGGGGTGAAAGAGGCAAAGTTATAGCAGGGTACCCACTCCCAGACACTGCACCTCTTAATAGATTTAAAAAGCTCTTAATAGATTTAAAAAGCAGGTGTGCAGCTGTGGGGACTGGGTGCAAGCCAGGAATCAGCCAACCAGGAGTTAATTCTGCTGTGACTCTGCAGTTTCCCACTTTATTAACTAATCAAGTAGTTGTTAGAAATCCTATCGACTTCTTGATTAGCTGATTACCTGCAATTTAACAACGCTACACCTATGGCAGAAGGGTGATTTTAGGGTTAAAGTAGTAGATTATAATTCAGGAGATCTGGGATTTTGGTTTAGCTCTGCTATTAGTGTCTCTAATTTACTCAGGCTCATAATCTGTCTGTGATTCCATTCCCATCTGGAAAACAAGGATATTTCCTTACTTTATAGGGATGTACTGAAGCTTGCAGTGCAATTTAACTTCAGTAATTGTAGTGAGAGTAAAGCTAGTGTGGGTATATTTAATGTGAATAGTGAAGACATATATCAGCACAGATTAGCAACCAAATATAG